TACTATAATCAATGTTCCTTAAATGTTGCAATGCTGACTTAATCCACTTGACTCAACATATTTTCCAGAACTAGATCTAGCAATGTCTAATTCCTCATTGGACTAGACACAAGGGTCTTCCATTTCTGTCCCCAGTAGAGCCAGAAATGGAGCAAGGTAGACTCAAGAACATTGTACCACTAGTCTGTGTGCCTGTTCCCTGAATGCAGCACCCCCATCCCTCAACCTAGGCCATTTTCCCAGAGGAAGAATAGAGGTGTGAAAGGGCTACCTGCCTGCAATGCATTGGGCAGCCAATTGTCATCATTGAACGCAGTCTAAAGCTTGTTAACACAGACCAACTATTTGGCTTTCCATCTCCTGGAAGTGACAGGGAACAGTTTAATTGCCTAGGTACAGCAGTAACAGTGAGCTACTGTAGTGAGAGGCTCCCCTGCAATGGTGGCCTGTCTGCAAAGACCATTTTTTCCTTCAAATTTAAGATAATTGGAGAAAAAGCACTTTTTTCTTGAGCTTTGAGCACTTCTGAATTCAAAGGCCTATGATTGGCCCATCAGCTTCTAGAGGCCACACACAGTCCTTTACTGGGTAATGAGGCAACTGGCCATTGATTGGCTGCTCCATGAAAAATCAGATTAAGTGACTGCTTCCCACATAGTGTGAGCTTCAGATTATCATTGAGACTGTCAGTAGGGTTCTGAAAATCCTGTCCATGCTGATTTCAAAGATTTCCCTACACATAAATCAGAAACTATTCTCCCTCTCTGGCACGTGTCGTATTGATATGCCAGTTTATGTTTGGATAGACCCCCACTATCGGTATATTATAGTATTTGCACATCCTTAAGGTTCCATTGAAATTGCTTCTCTGTATCTTTGTTAATAGTGCTGTCCTACAGATTACGCCACCTCCTCCCAACCAATAGTACCTCCATTTCAAAAAAAATTATCAAGTATATTCTGCCCATGATTATTCTAGGACATCTCTGTTTGTCCAATACAGTAACATTTTCCTTATTCAATATTGCCTCTTCTCCTGTTTCTTATCTTTTCTGAACACCTTGTATCCAAGGATAGTTAATGCAGTACTTCAATTTTTTTAAAGAGCCAGATTTCCATTAATGTTATAAGATCATATTCCCCTGTGGCTGTTTGTACCTGCAGCTCATCAAGGTTCTCCTCAGCTCACTGAAGCTGCTTTGTTTCCTGAGATGTAGGAAGCCTGGCCAGTCAACATTAAACCTACTCAATAAGCTAAATTCACGCCTTTCAGGTTAGACTGTTGTAGACAGCTTCCTGACATGGTTCTTTTTTAACTATTATACTCCCCAATCAAACCTAACTGCACCAAGTAAAAACCAAAAGAACTGCGGATGCTGTAAATCAGGAACAAAAACAAAGTTGCTGGAAAAGCTCAGCAGGTCTGGCAGCATCTGTGAAGGAGAAAACAGAGTTAACGTTTTGGGTCCGGTGACCCTTCATCAGTTCTGGTAACTCTGTTTTCTCCTTCACAGATGCTGCCAGACCTGCTGAGCTTTTCCAGCAACTTTGTTTTTGTTTCTAACTGCACCAAGGCCCTATGTTAAAATCTCCATTTTACTTCTGAAAGCCTCACACAAAATTGGATGTTTATGCTGCAATTTGAAACTTGTAAAATAGGCACAGCAAGTTCATTTTCTTCCCACTTAATGTACAATACTGTGAATCCATATTAAATGTACTAAACCAGAAGAATTGGAAACAGGCAAGGTGCAAGTTCCCTTTATGTGTGAAATACATTTTGTGCTCAGAGAGGTACTATTGATTATTCTGGTGACACTGCCAAATCTGCATGTTCTTTCTGAACAGACTGAAATCAAATACAAATTCAGTACCATGTTACTGCATTTTATTTGTGCTTTGTTTTCTGAGCTATTGCAAGAAAAGACAAGAAAGAACCATTAGTGGGCTGAATGGGTTTTTATTGGCACAATGAAATCACTCTTTTTAAACTAAAGTTTAAGTGCCCATTCAAGATGATTGAGATAATTCAAACAAAATATACCAGGAAATAAACAGTAGAGTACTGTTGCAGTTGAGAGCTAATTTTATCAGGTACTGGTTCTAAGTAGGCATAAAGTAAGACCACTTCCCACTGTGCAACAATGGAACAACAAAGATCATTAATTCATGAAAGTTGACAGCAGTGACTGATAAGCTGAACTACTGTCCCCTTCTGCCTGCAATCCTCACATTCATCATTCCAATGGCTGCACCAGGAAAATGTGAGATGGTGGTAAGGTGACCAAGTTCACTAATCCATCTTGAAGTTATTACTCCATACATCACAGTCAATATGCCATACCCTCTATATTCCATCAAGACACGATCTTTAAAATCATTGTTCTGAAATACAGTGCCCAGAATTTTATTCTCAACATAGAATTGAGAGATAAAAATAATAAACCAACTCACCCCGCAACAAAAATTCAATCATGGTTAAATTCAAAACATTTTTGTTAATTGAATTTAACCTTTTGCAGTCTTCAGTTACCTATTTATAGATTTGATTCCTGATACAGTACTTAATTTGCACAGTTGGTTTTTGAAGGCGGTAATGTAGCTTAATGATTCATTTCTCAGAGCTCTCTTGAACTATATTTTTTTTGCATGCTAAGATACAAGAATAGCAATGATTTATTTTGTATTTTTATTAAGTTAGTTCTCTGGGATCAATCAGTGTTTATTGCCCTTGAGGAGGTGAGAGTGACCCTTTGTTGGAGGGTATTTTGAGGATGCTTCTATGTTGTCTGGTAATGAGTTCCTAGACTTTAACTCAGAGCCAGTAGTGATGAGACAATAACTTATCTGTCCAGGTCAGGGTGTTGTATGATTTTGAGGGGAATTTGGAAAATAATAATATTCTCCTATTTACATCAAGACCTCACGGTACAGCTGGTTGTTAAAATGTATCCGCGTAAAAAGGAATTTGCATCCATATAGCACCATTCCTAATTTGCAAACACCTAAAGTGCTTCACATTTAATAAACTGTTTTTTGAAATATATTCAGAGTTATAACATGGCCGAGCACAGCAACCCATTTATGCACAGCAAGGGATTACAAACAACAGTGAGATAAATGACTAATCAAACTCTTTGAGTGATGTTAATTGAAGGATAAATTTTGTTCAGGATAAACTCAGTGGAGTACCCCAAATGAGCATTTCCCCAGTGTGACTTTGCCATTACCATTTCTCACCCTAATGATCTTGAGGTGTGAAGGCAGAGTAAACAGCCTTTACAGTTGGAGAAAAATCTATCAAACTGAGGATTTTGAGAAGTTTCTCAGAAAAGATCTCAGCATTAAAAGTGAGACCACAGCAAATAAACCTGTTCCAATGATAATAAGGAGATAACTCTCATCTTGAATGCACCATGTTTTGGATGAGGTGGAATGTTCAACATTTGTCTTTTCAACAGTTGCCTTTTTTTAAACTTGCTCCCTGGATTTGACTGATAATGGCACATCTCCAATTATTGCCCATGGGTGAAAAGGTCTTGAACTAGAGGGTATCAATTTAAGATGGTTGGCTAAAGAATGAATGGTAACATGAAGGAAAACTTTATAATGCAGTGAATGGTCGGGATCTGGAATGCACTGACAGTTTGGAGGTAGGAGGTACAATCTGACCTTTCAAAAGGGAGTCTGAAAAGCACATGAAGAGGACAGTTGTAGGGTTAGGGAAAAATGTAGGGTGATGGGCATAGCTGGTTGTTCTTTCAGAGAAATGGCATAGATGCAAGGGGCTGACTGGCCTCCTTCCATTATGTAACCATTCCACAATTTTGTAACTCTTTTAGCTGCATGGATGAATTAATGATTCATGTTGAGGTTGCCCACAGTCATTTCACAATTAGCCATGATATAAAGAAATGAAAATTTCACCTGAGCTGTAGTTCAAATGTTGAAGAGAGTTGTTGAACTTGATCTGATTAATATTGGGTGATCATTTAGATGTAAAGAGAAATTGAGTGGTAAATTCCCACAACAGTAAGGGACTTGCCTTGATTTCAAGAATGGAATATTCCTTACTGTTGTATGAAATTGCCATATCAACATGAAATCATTTTTCACAATTTTCCTCAATGCACTATTCTGTAGTAATTCTACGCATCTATGCAGGAGCAGAAAAATCTGCACACTGAGGTTTGAGACGGTTTTCAAAAAATGCTTTCAGGAATGTGGAACTGTTGCAAATAAATATAACATTTCTTGTAGCACACCATATTTTAGATGTAGTGGGTGGCTCCAGGTCTACTTTCTTTAGCAGTTACTTTTTAAATTTGTTCTCAGGATGTGGATGATGGTAGTAAAGCTGATTTATTTCCCAGCCCTAGTTACACTGAGGAGGTATTTTGTCGGTCTCTATTTAATTATCTGTCTTTGTGGTGATGGTACTTCATAATAGTGTTAGGGTGCAAATTACAGATATTGACGTAATAACCAAACCTGTTCAAGTCAGGGTGGCATTAGCTTGGAAGACACTTGAAGATGATAGTAATCTCACACTGTCGTTAGTCTTGTCCGTCTCAGAAGTAGAAATTAGAGCAAAGGGATGTAGCGATTTAGCAAACTCCTCTGCTCAAAATGATGTTGAGCTTTTTCAATAAAGTCACCTCAATTTTCTAGATGGTTAAAGTTGGTTCGGAATAAGTCCAGCAGTGTGGATTTGACTCCCATTCTGTCTATGCGAGACTTGGGACCTTATCTTGCCCTGTGAATGGAAGGTAATGGCAAACCACCACTGCCAAGAAAATACCTCAGAAATATTCAGCAGTGGATACATATGAGCCATGCAGAGCCCAATTGAATGAATGAATAAATGACCAATAATGTGCATCTATTGATTTGGTGTAACCCAGCACAAAGTACACAAAGTGCAACAAAGTTGATCCTGGCCAAAGCAAAAGTGCAACACTTCTGCCAAATAATATTTGTTTTATAATTTTCACTTACAGACAGTGTTGAAGATGAGTTGGAAATGGCTACCGTCTGCCATCGCCCTGAGGGGCTGGAGCAGCTTGAGGCACAAACTAAATTCACAAAGAAAGAGCTTCAGATCCTCTATAGGGGTTTTAAAAATGTAAGTATATAAAATAAATGGAACTTAGAGATCTTTAAATAAAACTTAAAGTTAATTATCTTAAGGTTATGGATTGCATAGTCTGCAGCTTTGAATACAATGTCTGCCATTGTGAGATTGGATGATTTAGTTAAAGGATTTCCTTCTTCATCCTTATAGTAAGATCCAAGAATGGGATGGTGGAAGCTCGACGGCAAGAATGATCCATTTGATGCTGAATTGTATCTTAATGCTAATTGCCTTTTTATGAGCTAGAGTTGTATTTTCAGTTTGTTCAGCCATATTCAAAGAATTTGGGGAGAGGAATAAGCCAGGATTCCAAGTTTTCTTGGTGCTGTTCCCCATCGCTGTAACCCTTCCTGAAGTGTGGCAGAGTGGGAGCAACTCTCGGGAAACTCTGGGTCTAGGACCTTTGCTGCTAACAGTTCTCCAGTGACTTCTGCTAGAAAGATTAGGTTGAGAATTGTGTGGATTTCATTCCAAGTGCATAGATTGTTCTAATTCGCGAACGGAGTTAATGCATGAAAAAATGTATCAGTTCTTAATTCAGTACAGTACCAATCTAGCCCAATTTAAAATTGAAAATGCCCCTTTTTAACCACCGTGGTTCCATGCATTTGCACCTGGCCAATGTGTGGGAGATATTTTTTCATTTCTTCTTGCACACGCATTTGATTTATGCAGCTAATGCCATAGAGTTTGCAAAAGTATTTAATCGGATCCTTAACTTGATTTCCTTATCCCTTTCTTCTTCTCTAAGGCTGTATGATTTGCAGATCAAAATATGGAATAGTCTAACTAGTGTTCTCTAACATGTGACTTTTTTCTGACTAATAGAATTTACAACAACACCTGATGCTGTTGTGAATATGAAGTAAACATTTTAGATTTTGGAAGACAATTTTGTTCTTTCACAGTTAAACTTTGGTTTCAAATCTTGGATTTGGTTTTTGTGCTCAAAATTCTGATTCTCCAGAATTCAAACTGAACTCTAACGACAACTTTATATGAACAGTTATTCATTGCCTGCTTGTCAAACAAGTAAATGAGCAAAAACTGATAATTCAAAATTACTTCAGAGATAGTAGGAACTGCAGATGCTGGAGAATCTGAGATAACAAGGTGTAGAGCTGGATGAACACAGCAGGCCAAGCAGCATCAGAGGAGCAGGAAAGCTGACGTTTCGGGCCTAGACCCTTCTTCAGAAATGGGGGAGGGGAAGGGGGTTCTGAAATAAATAGGGAGAGGGGGGAGGTGGATAGAAGATGGATAGAGGAGAAGATAGGTGGAGAGGAGACAGACAGGTCAAAGAGGCAGGGATGGAGCCAGGAAAGGTGAGAGTAGGTGGGGAGGTAGGGAGGAGATAGGTCAGTCCAGGGAGGATGGACAGGTCAAGGGGGCGGGATGAGGCTAGTAGGTAGGAGATGGGGGTGGGGCTTGAGGTGGGAGGAGGAGATAAGTGGGAGGAAGGACAGATTAGGGAGGCGGGGACAAGCTGAGCTGGTTTTGGGATGCGGTAGGGGGAGGGGAGATTTTGAAGCTTGTGAAGTCCACATTGATACCATTGGGCTGCAGGGTTCCCAAGCGAAATAGAAGGTGCTGTTCCTGCAATCTTCGGGTGGCATTTGTTGTGGTACTGCAGGAGGCCCAGGATGGACATGTCGTCTGCGGAATGGGAGGGGGAGTTGAAATGGTTTGCGAATGGGAGGTGCAGTTGTTTAGTGCGAACCGAGCATAGGTGTTCCGCAAAGTGGTCCCCAAGCCTCCGCTTGGTTTCCCTGATGTCGAGGAGGCCACATCTGGAACAGCGGATACAGTATACCACATTAGCAGATGTGCAGGTGAACATCTGCTTGATGTGTAAGGTCTTCTTGGGGCCTGGGATGGGGGTGAGG